TTCTGATTTCTTAGATTATAGAGATTATTGGCACCATTCCGGTCTCCAATCAGCTCTATAGTCAGCTGGCAGAAACACCAGCTGCATTCTCAGGTTCCCCCAATGGTACGGGACTGCCTGAGAATACTTTGGAAGGCAGCGGGGGGGGGGCATCATTTCTTGCTGCTTGTAAAAGCAATCCTGCAGCTAATTAGCCACTAGGATTACTTTTACATGAAAGCAGATTGCTGGCTGAAAACAATTATACCAGGATGATGCCATATGGAAACCCCATATGGAAAAAGGATGACACCAAGTCCCAAACTATCTTGCCACTACTTCCCATGTAGTCTGGGCATCCAGGGGGCTCCACGTGACTATCTTTTCCCTTATAAATCCAAAACTTATAATTATAGCATGTTGACCTCTCACAGGTCTTCTACATCCTGACCCCATATCTAGCACGCTTGCTGGGGAGAAATTGTTAGAATACAAGGCGGCCAGAAAAATTAATGAGGAACTCATCAACGCAGATTTTTTGCTGGGGAGTATAGACATCTGCAAATTTTTGGTTAAAGTGATTTCCAAGGGGCCGAATTTTGTGGAGTCAGTCAAATTCTGGATCACCCCGAAAACACATTATACTCTCATATCTATGCCTGGCCATGGCAGCAGAGAACACGGGCATATGATGAATCGGGTCTGTGGACCAATACAACCGCAATTAATTTTTTTTAGTAATGCCCATGTTGAGGGTTAGGCCCAAAAAAAAATGTAAATTTGGAAACTGCAAATATCCCCTATAACTTCAATGGGTATTGTCATATATTCTTTTTTGAGAAATCTGAGGTCCTATCAAACTCTAGATATCTCCCCTGCCCTTACATTATCTAATCTCACCAAGATTGGTGTGATCAGATGCTTTCCCAATTTACAAATGGTGCTGTTTATATCCTGCGAAACTGAAGTGATGAAATGCTCGTAGCTTCTGATTTCTTAGATTATAGAGATTATTGGCACCATTCCGGTCTCCAATCAGCTCTATAGTCAGCTGGCAGAAACACCAGCTGCATTCTCAGGTTCCCCCAATGGTACGGGACTGCCTGAGAATACTTTGGAAGGCAGCGGGGGGGGGGCATCATTTCTTGCTGCTTGTAAAAGCAATCCTGCAGCTAATTAGCCACTAGGATTACTTTTACATGAAAGCAGATTGCTGGCTGAAAACAATTATACCAGGATGATGCCATATGGAAACCCCATATGGAAAAAGGATGACACCAAGTCCCAAACTATCTTGCCACTACTTCCCATGTAGTCTGGGCATCCAGGGGGCTCCACGTGACTATCTTTTCCCTTATAAATCCAAAACTTATAATTATAGCATGTTGACCTCTCACAGGTCTTCTACATCCTGACCCCATATCTAGCACGCTTGCTGGGGAGAAATTGTTAGAATACAAGGCGGCCAGAAAAATTAATGAGGAACTCATCAACGCAGATTTTTTGCTGGGGAGTATAGACATCTGCAAATTTTTGGTTAAAGTGATTTCCAAGGGGCCGAATTTTGTGGAGTCAGTCAAATTCTGGATCACCCCGAAAACACATTATACTCTCATATCTATGCCTGGCCATGGCAGCAGAGAACACGGGCATATGATGAATCGGGTCTGTGGACCAATACAACCGCAATTAATTTTTTTTAGTAATGCCCATGTTGAGGGTTAGGCCCAAAAAAAAATGTAAATTTGGAAACTGTAATGGGTTCCCATATCAATGGTCTGGCAAGGTTTGATTTTGGGTTGGTGGTTGTTGTGCATATAAATTGCTTTTAACCACAATCAATGCATACAGATCTTTTGTGAAAAAACGCTCCAAAAATCAAGAGGAGTAGTTAAATTTGCTGTTTCCGCCTGAATTCAGGGTTGGGCAGTGAATGGGGGAAGTACGGTTGCTGCAGAATTTGTGGGCTGCCAATCGAGATTTGCAAGAACATCCAGAAGGATACTAGGGGCTCTATGGGCCTGTGTGCGAATTCTTGGTGGCTGTGGGACAATACTTGTGCTCGCCACCGCACCAGCTTGTACTGCACTTATGGGACTCGCCATCTCACCAAGTGATACTTCAGTGCTGGTATGTGAAAGACCAGGATGTACTAGGCCACTGGTGCTCGCCAGTTCACCAAATGGTAGCGTGGCACATATGAGAGTCATCAAAATTTACCAGCAAGTGCTAACAGGGATCAGGCCTGATTCTGCGAACATTGTGATTTTGTGTGCAATGTATCAAGTGACAGTGACCTACTGACACTGCACATTCTGGGGGAGAAGGGGGAGGTAAGCGTAGGGGCTAAACTCAGGTGCTGGCAGGTGCCAGGGCAGACCCCGCTAACGCTGCATTTGTGGGGACGCTATACTAATATGAACCCTGGTATAGTGCTGATCTGATCAAAGATATTGATCCATTCAGACACTATACTAGCAATGGAGGTTTATGCTGTATGAGCGTGTTCCTGGCAATCAAGGGGTTAAATGGTATTATTGGTGTACTGACGGGCAATCTGCCTCTATCTGGGAGGGGCGTAAAAACCATGGGAGCGTGAATCATATATATATATATATATATATATATATATATATATATATATACCCATACATACAGTATACATGTGATTTTGTGCACCCGTGCCTCCCTGTAGCAGTATTTCTGCTATAGGGCGGTCAGGAAGCAGTTAGAGAAGCAGTTTGTGTTACTTTAACTGACAATTGCACGGTTATGCAACGCTGTGACCAAAATTAAATTTATGTATTTTTTTCCCCACTAATTGAGCTTTCTTTTGGTGGTATTTGCTCACCTGTGTGTTTTTTATTTTTTGCGCTATAAAAAAAAAAGACCGACAATTTTGAGAAAAAAATAACTATATTTTGGACTTTTTTGCTATAAAACATGTCCAGTAAAAAAATTTTAAATTCTAAATTTCCTCCATGTCAGTGTTTACCTGTAATCGGCAGGGTCCGACGGGTAATCAACACCCACAGCCGCGATCAGCGGCACGTGCGCCCCCTTCCCGAGATGCAAAATCATATATATACGTGATTTTGCACAGCGGTGCCTCCCTGCCACAGTAAATGTACTGTGGCTGGTCAGCATCCGATAATGTACCTGAGGGTGCCCTAATCCTGCCTGTGAAGAGGCATATGTGATGTACAGAAAGTGCTTCAGAAAAAAAGTGTTTCAAATTGTCAGCAAATCAGTAAATTACATTTCATTCCAGGCTCCTTCTTAGGGGATCTCCATGCAAAAATATGCATGAGGTCCCAAAAAAAATCCATACAGACCCTTAACCCAAGCATGCTGGAAAGCTTATGCCATGTTGATGAGGATAAGGGCCTTTACCCCCAGAAAATCCGTACTAGACCATTGGAATTTGGTATGTTGTTTGAGGGGGATCTCCACACAAAAAAACTAAAAAAAAAAATGTGAGGTCCCTCTAAAATTTCCTTAAAAGACCTTTAATCTAAGCCTACAGCCTGGTTAGTCAGAAAGGAGGGGAATGGACATTCACAGACTTGTTGATCAATAATTCCTACTACTGTGTATGTTTATTTATGTTTTTTTATCTCAGATATTGTCTAGTAGAACAAATAAAAAACTCTACAACTGGAGTTAGAGGGTCGAGGAGGTTAGCCAAACAAGGTGTTGGCTTTGATAGAGAGAAGGGTTGCAGAAAGTTGAATGATAGATTTGAAATGCCTCAGGGATTGAAATCACAATGTAATATAAACAGACATTGTAGTTTGTTAACTGAACTGAAATCTGAGTGTATGGAGCTTATTGGAGCTGTGTCGGGATCCATATCTGAACCCAGGATCTCTATTATGTCTGGCAGCAGCTCTTCTTAATGTGCAAATTGAAATGCTGGACAGCTCTCTGTTTGATCCCTTGGACATCATTACTTTATATTTTGATTTATTGAACATTGAATTCCTTGCTGCTTCCTGTTCCTTAAGCCATACCTCTACACTTCATGTTTGACTCTGTTCCAGCCAACATATTGCTCCTTGTTCTCCAGCTGTCATCCACTACCACTTGTTACCAACCTTTGGCTAATTTATGGACTACGCTTCCATCTGATCCTACCCTGCAGCCACTCATTACTGGCCTTTGGTTAATTCATCAACCACACTTCTGCCTGATCCCAGTCTGCTAGATCTGTTACATTCTGGTGAGGCTCACTTGAGGGCCGCAACTCGTCACAGGCACACTGTAAAACATATCCACTGGGTTTAGACTACTGGGTCTAAAGCCAGCACTTCAGTTGAACTCTCACCACTTGTTAGGTAGATCAGTTTGTGTATTTATCCTACTGGTTATTGTGTGAACCTTTCTGCTGCTACAGGCCTTTGAGCCTTACCATGACCATGACAGTCTATGAATGAGGAACAATATGAGGTGTTATCAGATAGATCAATGTTAGTACTCATGTAAATTTGGAGCTTGGGGTCCTCTGTCTGTGTGAATCAACCTGGAATGTGGGCATCATCACCACTATATTAGGGGTGTCATTTGCAAAAGTAGTTGGTTAGGGATCAGTATAGATTCTTGTTCCAAGAAATGGAAGAGAGCAGGCATCTGGTCCAGATCAGACAGTATGAAATCGGCTACTCCTTGTTTCACTTGAACTCTGAACAGGTGTCCCCATTTATAGGTTGCCCCAGCTTGTCAGACGACTTCTAATAATGTTCTCACCACTCATTTCATAAGTAAAGTATACTGGGAGAGGTTATCCTAGGACCAGATAAGCAAATATGTGTAAAATATCCCTCTTCTTGGTTACAGGGCCAAATATGGAATCAATTACATTGTTAAAAACATTTCAGGGTGGGTGGAACTAACTACCATGTAATAGTTTAAATGGTAACCCTTCATATATTTTGTGTATCTGAAGACTTTGAAGTTAGAAAACTATCACCAAAATGAATTTAATTGTTTTTCTTTCTTTATAGATTTTTATAGCACAAACAGTCCTTCAGCAGCGTGTTGATGTAACATGTGGAAAAATTCCCAGAGACACAGAAAAACTACTCTTAATATTCCTTCGTATTGCAACATGGAACCAGATACTAGATCCCTGGGTTTATATCCTGTTCAGAAGAGCAGTGTTAAAAAGGATTTACCCTAGTTTACATTCCCGTCTATCCATTATGTCTTTATATCCAACACTTACTGCTTCATTACGCCGCAAGTATACTCAAGAATCTGTAATTAATTAAACTGTAAACACTTTGTTATGTATGTGCAGTTATCATCTAGTGCAGTCATTATTGCTAACAATGCTAACTCTAATACTTAAAGCGAAGTTCCACTCACACTGTAAAAAAATAAGTCAGCAGCTACAAAAACTGTAGCTGCTGACTTTTAAAGAACAGTCATTCACCTGTACCACGATCCTGCGATGTCCTCCCCGCAGCTCGTTTCATCAGCCATCTGGTGTTCCAGGTGCTGGCATCTTCAGTGTGAGCACCCAGCTGTGAAAGCTTGGGGCTTCACAGCCGGTGCCCACTGAGTATGCGCAAGTAGCGCTGCGCTTCCTGTATGGCCCCATAGTCTTCTGTGACCTGTCACGTGTCACAGAAGACTACGGGGAGGGAGGGTAGGAGGACAACTTCTAGGCGATCGCAGCGGAAGTGGGAGGGGGTACCTGTCCATTGTGGGTACCCGCTCCCCCCCTGCTCCCCAAAGATGCTAATCCTTAATGGGGAGCAGGGGACCAGTCTTTAAAGCGGAACTTCCCCTTTTGGGTGGAGCTTAAGTGTGAATCAGATCACCTGCTTCTCTTACCTACTCATCTAAACAAATACATGTGTCCACAGCAATGGGCTGTGGGTGTTATTTTCCTGTGTGGAAGTAAACAAAGAAAATATTAAAATGAAAAAGCCCCAGGAGGATTCCAGATGGAAATGAGCTGTTAAATTATATATAGAAATTAAATAGAAATCAGATTTTAAATGTGTTTATACAACCTTTTTATGAAGAAATTCTATATCTTTATTTAAATTTCATTGAAATACCACTTCATAAAATGCATAATACCAAATTATCATTGGTAGTACCGCTATTCAACAAATGACCATATAATATTCCCATATTCCCATCATTCTATTGGTTGAACAGGATGGACTTGTAATATTGTATCTGTATATGTGTCCTTCTCCAATTACAACATAATACTTTATCCTTTGGAAGGTGGACTTATTTCTGCAGGGTTTATTAAGGTTTTAGTTGCAACGTGGCTGTTATTTTGCACTTCAGTGACACATCAGATCATATGGGAATGTCTATACGGTCATGCATATACGGTATATAGTTAACAGTCTTTAAACATATAACATATTTATCACATTCACCTGTATTTATTACTTACAGCAATTTAATCATCATAGTGTGCAGATGGTGCTACATGGAAACAGAAGGGGGAAACCTGTGAAAGACAGAATGGGCATTGTACAATGTTATAATATTAACACATAATATTGTTAGGACTACAACAAAACTGTGCCCTCCCCGCACACTGTTAAGGAACAAATAGCTTCAGGGTGGTCTCTTCTAATGTGTTTTACCAAATTTGGGGCTTAATTATAGAGGCACACAAAGCTATAACAGCTCAAGGTAAAAAGCATCTTAAGACATAGAAAAATTCTGTACAGATGGATCTGTGTTTCAAGATCAATAATGTATCCCACAACACCAACAAGTGATAATCTGTGTCCACTCTAAATAGTCTATAGCACCTTAGCCAACTGTACCTGTAGTACACAGATCCAAAAAGAAAGCATGAAACAAAGCAGAACTAAACAGAACAGGAGACACAAGTAAATAAAAAGGCAACTATATGACTAGACTCTATACCTATAAAAAAAATTATGTTTATCAAGATTAAAACCAGCAAATGATGAATACACAACATTAATAATCAGAAAAGTAAATAAAACAGAATATAAAGTACACATAAGGGTTTAAATCTAGAAGTAGAATCAAGTAAACGCAAGTTGAATTAAGATGAAATGTATTGCATTGAATGAGTTCTCTAAATATGAGACACAAAGCGGCGTTTTGTAACTACAAATAAAAACTAGAGCAGTTCTAATTAAAAGCATACAGAGAAAAAAGCAAAAAAGAAAAAAACACAATTTGTAATCATAATATTAGGGCGATATCCCTCTCAAAATTCAGTCCCTTTGGAATATGAATTTCTAAATTAAAACTCCAATAGATCTTTTATTTAGGGCTGAAAAACTGTCTCCTTCCCTCTTTGGATAGTCTTCTCTCTCTATAATTTGTACTTTTATGGATTGTAGGTTATAGGCATGAAAATACATTTGCATTCTCATATTTGTTGATGTTGGACAAATGGTCCCACCTGTGGCCGCATAAGCATCTCGTTGTTTGTCCTACATACATACATACATACATACATACATAACATTTAGTTTGGTCATTTACAAGTTGTTTGATTGGCAAGAACGACCATGGGTGAAGGTGTTACAGTGTGAGAATCACCAATGTAGCTTGAGCATCTGGAGGGTCCAAATTTACAGACTCCTGTATCACTGAGCCAGGTATTTCTATGTATGTTGGAAACTAGGTGACAGTAAGTTCCCTAGGGTGAAGGCTTTCTTGGGTATGAATTTGGTTCCTTGAGTTAATATGGATCTATATACTGGATCTCTGTATATTATTTTCCAAATTGTATCTGGTAACTATACATTTAATAACCTGGAATTCCAGGCTGCAACACATAGAAAAAAAAAATGTTGGTTTGGTAGCCCCTTCAGATATAGGAGAATTTTGAGACTGTTAGTGAAAGGATTTATTGCCAATCAAATTGGCTCTAAGAATGTTTCTGGCTTGTTCTTGTGCTTTTTTTTACTACTGAGCTTTTTTAGCCTCACTCTTAGAATCTCTTTTCCATCAGATTAGCTTCCGTCAAATTCCTAATGCTTCTACAAATGCATCTAGTGCTGGTGAATTGTCTTCTTGCAATGGCTTTTAAAACATGACTTAACCTTCTGATCCTTCCACTGACCTTATAAGGGTTAGATCTATATAGTTGACTTCTGTGGAATGCTCTTCTCCTGTAAATTGGAGGTTACAATTGTTGTTGTCGTTCAGGCTGGTGAGTTAGCCAGTTAGAAGCAGTATGAGCCACAAAGTTAGATCATCTATGTAATGACCTTGAATTGTGCAGCTGTTTTTTTACTGTAATACATGTAGATTCAAGTCACCAGCACCATCTCAGTGGGACATTTTCAGCCACACCAGCTGTGCCTTAAAACAATCAATAGATAGATGGCACTGTGGGATAGATGATTAATCTTGAAAGCCAGACCCATTTTCCCAGTATTTTGGCTTATGATGTTTTTTTTTACCTGAGCCGTTACAGCTATATGATTATTCCCAAAACAGGTGAAATGCATTGGAGGGGGTTCCCCATGGTTGGAGATCAATCTGAAGCCATTGCAACATAGTAACTAGTGGTGTGACTTAACAGTTTGCAGGAGGGCATCATTTTGTTGTAGTCCTAGGATTGAGCTTGATGAGCCTGCACCAACCAGCACCTGGTAGCAGTACGAGCCGGCTGGAGTAACATACATTTTGAGTGGTAGTGTTTTAGCTTTGCTTTCATATAATAATATTAAACCATTATATAAAAAAGAACCCCTCCAATTTATCCCACTGTCCCTAGGCAAATAAATCATTTACCTAACTGTACTACTCAACTTTACAGGTAAGTATAAGTGCCAATGTCTGTTGTGTATAATTTATTCTTATAACTGTATCTCTATTTGTGGGTTGAATAGAAAAAAAGGGAAATACTGTATATGTCAAGCGTTTTTTGTTCATATAGTGTGCCAGGCCTTAATCAATATTCCTTCCCCCGCACAAAATAATAATATGATGTGACTGAACACAGAGAGTGGGAATCAACTGCACTGTGACAGTATAATCACCAAAAAGAAAGGTCTCAGTTGAAAGCTTAAACTACTCTTCCACCAGTATTATGGTGACCTATCAAAATATGGTAGTAACATATACCGTATGTAGCACCCTCCTAGTCAGGTGCTAGGATGTATATAGTTAGGTTACGTTAGGTTAAGGTATAGCTGTCAGATAAATTCAATGTGGTATTCTGCTTGAGAGAGTGCTGTGATTGATGAGTTAGGTCTGCTCAGTTAGGTCTGCTGAGTTAGGTGCTGTTGGAGTTTGACTGAGTTCTGCTCACCTTCAGGAAGCTATGAGAGCCTTCCAGAACATAAGTGGGGGCTAGACCCAGGAAGGAACCTGACCATGGCTTGGAGCAGGAGCTTGATGTGAGAGATCCCGGTTCCTGGCTCCCAAGCACCTCCAGTGTCCTGCCAAGAAGGGGAGAGATGTGCAGGAAGCCCTGGAGAGGCTAGCCGGGGAGAGGAGGGGCTTGCCTGGTGGGGTGCGTGGACCGAGGACCTCCGGGAGTGGCAGCCATTGAGGCGGGTCTTCCTGTGCTCTCGGCCTGGCTTTGCTGTGTGTTCCCCGGAGCTCAGTGAACGGCGGGCGATCAGGTGATCTGCCGCAAGGGAGCTCTGGGAGGCAGAGGAGCCGCCCGGCGTTTCTTAGGAGCAAGGGAAATGCCGGCTCTTTTTCTCCTGCACACAGGACCGTGGCAGCTGGAGACACGCAGAAACGGGCTGGGTGACCCCCCCTGCAATCCACTCATTGTGTGAGGGGAATGTTGAGTGCAATGTTCCCCAGAAGAGAGTACCTGGAGCCACTTCACCCCTCACTTGGAGTAAAGGAAGAGATGTCCTAAAGTGCGAGAAAGTCTCTCAGAGAAGTTCAATCTCTATAGAAACTAGAGATCTCACATGGGGGAGAAGTATTCCTGTTTCGAGTGCGGGAAATGTTTTTCATGTAAGTCCTATTTTTTATATATATCATTGATAATACAAGAGGGAGCAGACATACCCTTGTTCAGAGTGCAGGAAATGTTTTTCACAGAAGTCCAGCCTTCATTTATATCAGAGACGTCACATGAGGAAGATGCTATATCCCTGCTCTAAGTGCGGGAAAAGTTTTCTCAGACAAAACTAGACTTTACATATAACAGAGATCTAACAAGGTGAAAAGCCATATGTCTGTCCTGAGTGCGGGAAATACTTTTCAGTGAAACTTAGTCTTCACATACATCAAAGATCTTACACGGAGGAGAAGTTGCATACCTGTCTGGAGTGCGGGAAATGTTTTTCATGTAAGTCCTATTTTTATATATACCAGTGATAACACAAGAGGGAGCAGCCATACCCTTGTTCAGAGTGCAGGAAAGTTTTTTCACAGAAGTCCAGCCTGCATATATATCAGACACCTCACATGAGGAAGATGCTATATCCCTGTTCTAAGTGTGGGAAATGTTTCCTCAGATAAGTCTAGACTTTACATATATCAGAGATCTTACACAGGTGAAAAGCTGTATGTCTGTCCTGAGTGTGGGAAATACTTTTCAGTGAAGCCCAGTCTTCACACACATCAGAGATCTTACACGGAGGAGAAGTTGTATACCTGTTCACAGTGCGGGAAATGTTTTTCAGAGAAGCCCTTTTCTTCATATATGACAGAGATCTCATACGGGGAAAAGCCGTATTGGGGACAAGAGGGTGAGTGAGAGCGGCAAAAGTACTGAGATTAATATATTGCATGGGAACTGAACTGTATGTATTGAACTATATGTTTAAACTGAGGAGGGGTTCACCCAGGGGATCTTAGAGGAAAATCAGAAGGAGGACATTGTAAAACAGATAAGGACCTAGAAGAAGAGGACCCAGGTAGATGAGTTCGGGATTGGGGGGAGAGAAAAAAGGAAGAAAAGAACTGAGAGGAGGATACCCATGGAAGACAACAAAATTTTGATATCAAATCAAAAATAGACCCCCCCCCCCTCAAAAAAAAACAGAACTGCGGAAAATTAAAATAGTTCCTGACAGCTTGAAAAACAAAGTATCAAAAGGAGGAGGGCCTAAGGCTTCCCGAACAAGGTCAATTAAAAAAATATATACCCTCACAGGAGAAACAGACTCCAGAGAGACAACAGGGAATAAGTGTAAGAGGTGAGAAGGAAAACGGCAGAGAATGTTCCAAACTATCCATGGGAATAGCTAACAGTAGTCAACATATGGAAGAAGAAGCGGATATGGATAAAGTAGAGGAACAAGAGGAGAGCTTACAGATGCCTACTAAAGCAGAAATAGCAGAAATGTTTAAAGGACTTGAAAGATCCCTAAAACAGGAACTGGCGAAATTACACAAAGACCTGGGGCAAATATTATCAAGGGTGGAGGAGCCATAGAAAAAACTAGATAAACATGCCCAAATTATACAGAAATTAGAAAAATGGGCGATGGAAATGAGAAAAGAACAAAGAAAACTGTTATATAAATTGGAAGACCAGGAGAATAGGGATAGGAGATGCAATCTAAGGTTACGAGGCTTTCCAGAGATCTCCCAAGGAGAAGATTTGACGGGAATAATAACAAGAATGCTGAATACTATAATGGATAGAACTATAACAGAGCCTTTCAAAATGGAGGGAGTATATAGAATAGGAAAATACATACAATAAGATAGAAAGGAAAAGCCAAGAGATGTAATAGTGCAATTCCATAATTTCCGGGATAAAGAAGAATAAATATACAGATCTTTGCTGATTTAGCAGCGGAAACATTAATAAGAAGCAGAACTTTTAAACCGTTATTGGAACAGACGAGAAAACAGAATGTTCGATATAGCTGGGGATTTCCAGCGTGTTTGATCGGATGGAGAAAGGGACGTTCAGCAAGACTGCGATTCCCCGAAGATCTGATAGACTTTTGTGAGAGACTTGATATACAGAAAATAAATATCCCTGGATGGGAGGAAGAAAGAGAAATGTGGGCTATGGAAAATGAGGGGAGGCAGGTAGCTCTAAGGAGAAATAGAGAGTTGGAATAGTAAAGAGGAATAAGATGGGAGGGGGTTCTCTCCTTTTTTCTTTCTCTCTCTCTCTCTCCCCCTCAATTTCAGCCTCTCTCTTATGATCTTTGAAGTTTACTAGAGTAAGGCAGGACACAGAGGATGAGACACGCTTATTGGGGAAAAGTTCAATGGTCAGAGCTTCACCTTAAAAGCTGAATCAAAGGTGGGGTTAGGACCACAAATAATTCATAGGCAAAATGCAAGCCTAAAGGGAGATGAGGGGAGGGGAGGGAGAGGAGTGGGAGGGAGGAGGGGTGGAGGAGGGACGGAGGGTGGGTGGGAGGAGGGTATGGGGAGGGGGATAGGTAGTTTAAGACTCTGCCGAAATAGTGGGAGACACATCAGTCTTGAGAAATCCTAGAGATCAAAGGGGAAGATGTGGAGGAAAGAGGAAGAGAGAAGAGGTGGGGAAGATAGAGGTGTGGAGAGGAGAAGAATGGAAGAGATTCACTTTGTGACTTATAATGTTAAAGGGTTAAAAAGCCCTGGGAAGAGATTTGGGATTTTTAAAGAAATTCAACATAGATTTTCTTCAGTGGTTTTATCCAATGTGGTTTTATGCAGATTCCCCAATTAAACGTGCCAAGGGAGTGGAAATAGGTTTTGCGAAAAATATAAGGTTTAAGCTGGAAGACAGATTGGTAGATCCGGAAGGGAGATTTCTGTTTCTGAAGGGAAAATTACAGGAAATAGACTGTACATTAGCAAATATTTATTGCCCGAATAATAAGATGTATTCCTAAAAAATACTCTGAGGAAGTAAATGGATTTCAAAAAAGGCAATTTAATTGTGGCAGGTGATTTCAATCTCTGCATGGATCCCCAGATGGATATGACGTCCCCTGTGCAGAGAGATGGTAGTAGGTCTCTGAAATCCTTGAAAAAAATTATTATATACCAATGTCAACTTGCAGATATATGGAGAATTAAGCACATGAAGGACAGAGACATATACGTTTTATTCTCATGCACATGAGATCTATTCAAGACTGGATTATATATTGCTGGACCATCGACTTATCAAGTCTCTGGTCAAAGTAAAAATAGAAGTGATGTCAATATCGGACCCTGCCCCTGTCACAATGCAATTATTATGGGGAAATGAGCAGATCGGGGGGAAATTATGGAGGTTAAATGAGACACTTCTCCAGGATTCAGAGGTGGATCAAAGAATTAAAGAAATAAAGCAATTTTTTGAGGAAAATGATTCTGGGGAATCACTGTAGCAACAGTGTGGGAGGCTCATAAGGCCTATATTAGAGGAATCCTGATAGCGATTGGAGCAAAAAAAGAAGAAGGAAAAAAAGAGAAAAAATAAACACGCTTCTTAGTGAACTCTGTGAGTTAGAGCAGATACATAAACATAAAGTAACAAAAGAGATTACACAGAGGGTAATAAATAAAAGAGAAGAATTAAATACATTTCTGGAAGAAGATAAGAGAAGAGTGTTCAATAAAATGATAAGTGAGAGATACAGATGGGGAGATAGGCCAGGAAAGTATTTATCCGCCTCCCGCCCGCCATATAGTACAATGACGGCGCAAGGCGGTTCTCTCGTTTTGGGAGGACGTCATATGACGTCCTCCCATTCTAATCGCGCAGGTGCGGCTCCGGGAGCGCGCAGCATGGCGATCGGAGGTGCGCTGTGTCTCTCGGACACAGGGGATCCCTGATCAATGAAAAGAGCCGAGGATGTCGGCTCGGTCATGTAATTAGCTGTGTCCAATCACAGCTGATCACATGTAAACAGGGAAATGCCGGTTATCGGCATTTCTCTCCTCACAAGGGTTACGCTGATAGCTCGAGAAGAGAGGAGAGCTGGTAATCGGCATTCCTTGAGGGGACATGTACACTGATTATCAGAGCACTGATGATCAGTGTACCCTGATGATCTGTGTAGCCCCAGCAGTGCCACCTGTCAGTGTCCATCAGTGCCAGCTGTCAGTGCTCTTCCATGCCACCTGCCAGTGCCCATCAGTGCCACATTTCAGTGCCTGCCAGTGCACATCAATGCCACATATCCCACATGCCCATCTGAGCTGCCTTTCAGTGTCACCCATCAGTGCCAGTCAGTGCCACCTATCAATGCCAGTCAGTGCCACCTATCAGTGCTGCCAATCAGTGCCACCTATCAGTGCTGCCAATCAGTGCCAGTCAGTGTCGCCTATCAGTGTGCATCAGTGCCGCCTATCAGTGCCTGTCAGTGCTGCCTATCAGTGCCGCCTAACAGTGCCAGTCAGTGGCACCTAACAGTGCCAGTCAGTGCCAGTCAGTGCCGTCTATCAGTGCAATATATGAGTGCTGCCTTTCAGTGCCCATCAGTGCCAACTACCATTGCCTCCTCATCAGTGCCCATCAGTGCCACCTATCAGTGCCCATCTTTACAGCCTCATTAGCGCACATCAGTGAAGGAGAAAAAATCACTTATTTACAAAATTTTTTAACAAAAACTAAGAAAAAACTTTTTTTTTCAAAATTTTCAGTGGTTTTTGGTTTGTTTAAGAAAAAATAAAAACCCCAGAGGTGATTAAATACCACCAAAATAAAGCTCTGTCACAAAAAAATTATAAAAATTTCATATGGGTACAGTGTTGCATGACCACGCAATTGTCATTCAAAGTGAGTCAGCGCTGAAAGCTGGAAATTGGCTTGGCAGGAAGGGGGTATAAGTGCCCTGTAGGCTACTGGCTAATGAGGGCTCAGAGAAAAAAAATCTAGAAACTATATAAAGAAAATAAGAGACCACAAAAGAGAATTAATGTATTCAACTAAAGATATAGCTAAAGTGTTTAAAGAATAGTATAATAAGCTATATAATATTATCCCCCATAGCTTCATAAGTAAAGATGAAGTAGGAAAAATAGAAAAAAGACAGACATACTTAAAAAAGGCAGGATTACCAAAATTAAGTGAGGAGCAATTAAAATCCTTAGAATCAGCAATAACGCAGGAGTAAATACACTTAGCATTAAAGAGCACTATAGCTGGGAAAAGTCCAGGGCCTGATGGATATACAGTGAGATATTATTAAAAAATATAAAGAATTATTAGTACCTAAACTGAGGATATATATGAATGCATTGGGAGGAGAGATGGAAATGAGGAGGGAATCCCTACAAGCCCATGTAGCTCTCATATATAAGGAAGGTAAAGATGATACTCACTGTTCAAGTTACAGACCAATTTCCTTATTAAACACAGATACCAAACTATATGCAAAAGTTCTGGCAAACAGGTTGAAAGACCTAATGTTGGAATGGATACACATAGACCAAGTAGGCTTTGTCCCAGGGAGAGAGGGTAGAGATAACAGACAGAGATCTCTGTTTCTCATGCAAAAAAATAGGAAAGAGAAAATCCCTGCAGTGGTACTCTCCATCGATGCTGAAAAGGCATTTGATAGAGTAGATTGGGGATATATGTTGGATACATTGTAAGTATTGGGTATGGGACCTAGAATGATGAGAGAGTGGATAAGAAAATTATATAGTCTACCCTCTGCAGCAATCAATGGTTAATGGGGAATTGTCAGAGTATTTTGGGATGCAGAACGGAACTAGACAGGGATGCCCTTTGTTTCCATTGCTATATGTTTTATCATTGGAATCTCTTTTGGCTACAATAAGGAATAATATAGATATAAAAGAAATTCGGATAGGAGATACGGAGCATAAGGTGGCAGTTTATGCAAATTACATGCTGTTCTATGTGGGAAACCCAAGGATAACATTGCCAAATTTAATGAAATCACTGAAAGAATATGGGGAGATGTCAAATCTAAAAATTAACCCAACAAAAACAGAAATTTTAAACATAAATCTTCCAAATAGAGAGAAAAAAAAATAGGTTACAGGAGGAATTTCCATTTGTTTGGAGAGAAAAAGAATTTAAATACCTAGGAATAAAATTAACTGTATCCTCCAAGAACTTGTTAAATTGAATTATGTCTCATTGCTAAATGAGATCAGGGATGAACTAGGGAAATTAGGAGGGGGAACTCCGTCATGGATAGGTCGTAAAAACTGATAAAAATGGTGATTGTTCCAAAAATATTATATAAATTTCAAATGATACCAGTTAAACTACCAGAAGTATACTTTAGATCAATTAAAAAAATGTTAATAATTATAATGATTTATTTGGAGGAATAAAAAAAACCGAGAATAAGCCAGGAAATTTTATGTAGAAATAAAGAGAAAGGAGGATTGGGAGTCCCTGATTTAAAAAAAAGATATTATAACTCGGTAATAATGGCGAGAATTTTTGACTGGACATATAATGCAGAGGGGAAAAGCTGGGTTAAAATAGAAAACATACTAAGTAATACTAAATTAAGTGGAATTGTATGGTTACCTCCACAATATAGAGGATTAGCAGATAGTACAAGTTTGTTCACATTTAATGTTTTAAGAGTTTGGGATGTTTTACACAAACAGATGGGGGAATATGGGAATTTAATTCATTGTTAATGCCCTTAAAGTTCACAGAGTTTTTCCCCCCCCCCCGTAAAGAAGGTATCACAGGGAAGTGGATTAAGACGGAAGATGCACAATTAAGGGATATAATGGGGGGGGGAAAAATAGGATCACTTAAGGAATTGGAAAAAAAGGAGAAGATTTTACGAGGATGGATGAGTGGCGTTATTTTCAATTGAAACACTTTAGATGAAAGCTTCCAAAGCCTTTAAGAATAAGAGAGGATTGGAATCCTTTTGAGCACTTATTAGGTACACATGGAGATGGGAAACACGGAACCTCTAAAATATATACGATTCTCACTGAAATAAACACAGATATAAGTCCTCCATATATAGAAAAATGGGAAAGAGAAATAGGAGTAACAAGAGAGGAGGAGGTAGAAATGAACTATAAGTGTTTGGCAAGATGGTATATCACACCGAGTGTGGCACACAGATTGAATGGAGATAATTCACCTTTATGTCGGCGTGGATATGGAGGTAGAGGCACAATGTATCACATATGGTGAGAGTGTTCTAAAATACAAGAGTATTGGGGGAAAATAGTAAGCTTGATTCAGAAAATTACAGAGGTTGATATTCTAGTAGACCCAGAGATTTGCCTTTTTCATAGTACTAAGCTTTCAGTTAAAAAATACAAAGAATCAGGTTTATTGTACTATTTGAATGCAGCAAAGGGACTGATACCCAAGTATCGGAGGAGACAGGAGGTGCCGAAAATAAAAGACTGGGTGGGTAGGGTGGATCAAATATGTAAATTGGAGGAACTTTATCATTTGATAAAGATAGGATGGAGAGTCACCATATAAGATGAAACAAATGGGAGGAATTAAAAAAGTGAAGGCTAGCCTTGGAGGTTATGGGGGATTAACATAGAATAATATGGAAACATATTTTGTTCTTTTATAGGGATTACGATCTCCAGAAATGAACAGGAAAATGTAGAGCAGAAGGGGTCAGGGATTGGATGGGGGGGGGATGGGTGGTATATAGGTAGGGGTAAGGGGGGGGACGGGGGGTAAAAGGGATGAAACGATAAATGATTTGATAATATGCTAAGGTTTTAATGAGTATGTTTGTATAACTTGTTTATCTGAAAAATTAATCAATATTTAACTTAAAAAAAATAATTGGGGGCTAGGCAAATGCACAGCATGAATATGGACACAGCCCTGGCCATTTGTAGGGAAGGGTTGTCGCATTGAATGCTGGGAGTGGTATTTATTTTCTGAGAGCACATGGGTTCAGTGTCTGTAGTGGATTGCACCAGCCAGGCTGGAGGCAGGCTGCCTCACCTGGCACTTGCTGCCATGTGGCCTCAGGTGGGGCCAATCTGACTGAGTGATGCTGTCTGCCAAATATCTGTCTGGTATCACTGGAGACAGTTGCTTGGAAGAGTGGAAGGATGCAACCATTCTGTCCTTGGGTGAGTACAGACTCTGAGAGATCTTGGGGACTCTGTGTGCTTTTCTAAGCCTCTGGTGCTTGATAGTCAGGGTTTGAGAAAGGGAACACTGGCTAATGTTTTGAAGAGCTTGTTCAAGTGTTGCTACTACAAAGGGATGCAAGGCGGAAAAAAAGGGAGCCCGTGGAAAACATTCAAGCGGGTCCTTTGGGGGTAGTGCTACACGTATAATAAGAAACTTATACTTGCCTGTAAAACTGAAGGGTACACTAAGAAGTAGATGATTTCTACCTTAGGTAAGCTGGGGTAAATGATTTCATTGTCTGGGGAGAGTTTGACAAATTCTTTTTTATTATGGTTTACAGTGTCAGTGCTAGTTAGTATGGTTTGGTTAGTATGGTTAGTACAGTGTCAGTGCTTTTTTAAGCACTGATCACTGTATTGGTGTCACTGGGGATGTCAGTAACACCAAGTCAGCTCCCCCAGTGTCAAAATCCCCGCCGCAGTTCCACAGTCCTGCTATAAGTCTCTGATTGCTGCCATTACTAGTAAAAATAAAAAAATTAAAAATGATTATGCCTTATTTTTCTCCTGGAAGAGCATACTCCATTCCTCCCTGCGGCACCACATTTGCATATCAAATTATCAATTTACTGTAAGTAATAAATATTTGTGAATGTGATAATGATTGTTAACAGCTTCCCTACCGCCCTATAGCAGAAATACTGCTACAGGGTGGCACGGTTGCTCAAAATCACGTATATATGTGATTTTGCATTTGCGGGTATGGGGCGCTTGCGCACCCTACCCGCGCTGCCATCTGTGGCCTCGGCTGTCAGTCACCGGGTCCCGGCTGGTGATTACTCGTTGGCACCCGGTGATTGCCTAGCATCTCTGACAGGGAGGACTGTTTGTAAACAAAGCAGTCTCCTCCCTGTCAGCTCATGCACACTGCTTTGGATGGCTGTGCACACACACAGCCCCCCCCACACTGTTAACCCTTTGATCATCCCTCATGTTAATCCCTTCCTGTTCCTTGCCATTAGTACAATGTCAGTGCTTTTTAGCACTGATCACTGTATTGGTGTCACTGGGGATGTCAGTGCCACCAAGTAAGTTCTCCCCAGTGTCAGAACACCAGCCGCAGTCCCGCAGTCCTGCTATAGGCTGCTGATCGCTGCTATTACTAGTAAAAATAAAAAAATAACCAAACTTCCAGTATGTATACCGCTATTTTTAAATGTTATAGCTTTCACATAAACTTAATTTACACGTATTGGGATTTTT